TTGCCTACTGTTGAAAAAAAAATCTAATCCACTCCCTTCAGCGTGCTTCAGCGATTCACATTTTCAACGGTTGTTCCTCTGTTTTCGTGATTTTAGCGGATGCTTATTAATATTAAACATCGTTCCTCGCGTTAACAGTTGGAACTTTTTGTGAAAACATCAGGCAGCGAGGTAATGGAATACGCAGAATCTGGAAGGCACAATGGAGGATGTGAAAGCGAAAAGTGCCCCCGAAAGTGTGCTTCCCTAACACCGACCAATCGCCTATCTGGCGATCGGGGTTTTACTCCAAGTTCCACGGAGAGTTTCAGCTTACGAACGGCATAAAGACGTGAAAACTTCAGTTTTCCCTACCTGGTATAAGTCAACGACGTCCACACGTTGTCAGTGTTTAGCCTTCCCAAAAGCTCTTTAGTTTACACTCGGTGAGGCGTGCTCCTATATCAACGTATTGATTATGACCTTTTAACTATTTTACAGACAAAACTGCCATTTATTCCCATTTGAAATGAGTAATAAAATAAACACTGCCTCCCGGCAAAACCCTAATGAAATTGCTTTCCATGTACTAGCATGTTGCATAGAAAAGCGTGCGTTTAGAACTGCTGCTGGTGAAACGCATGAGCAAATGCCAAAAGTGCCCTAAAGACAGTCCCATTGCAGTCTCAGTGTGCTCTGCGGAAGAAAACAGCCCTCAAAAGAATTTGTTATCGGCCAGTTTATTTTACCGGATAACCTTCATAAGTACACATCCAGACCGCACAGAGGATTCTAACGTATAAAAAGGCTATTTCGAAGTGAATGTTTGTTTGTCCCAACCGGAACGGTCCACTTTAAGGCAGGATTAAGAAAACAGAAATTTCATGAAGAAGCAACTCACGAAAAGTTTTTTCCTCTCTAGTTGCGATAACACATTGCACTGAAGTGCGAACTTAGCGCCAAGGAACAGTCAGTCTCATCAAAAGTTGCAAGGTTTACTGCGATACTGAAGGAACGAATATATTCAAAAAGTTAGTATTTAACAGTCTTGAGAGGTTCGGGGTTGTTTTGCAGCTTCTCGCCTTCGCTTTCTCCGGCCATTATCGTAAAAGTTCTCCTCTTCTTTGAAAATATCCCAGGTCTGAGATCCTAATTTCGTTATATGATCAATATTGACCCCACTACAAGGGTGGCCTTTGGCCAAATTACGAGAACTGTCCTATTCTCGTCTCCGAAAGCTTAGAGTAAAGCAAATCTAAAGTAAACCCTTATCGCTCTCGAACAAAGCGAAAGGTTACCTTTGTTATGGGGGAGTACGATTTCCGTCCTCATGTCCTACCCAAAATCTGATCTTAGACTGTTGACTGTCGCCATATCCAAAAAGTGAGTTAGCCTCACATCAACAAATGTGGGCTTCTATGAGCCAGGATTAGGAAACCATGGCCTTCGCAGTCCGCTGCTTGCTGGCAGTTCTTTGACACCTGGTTCCCTGCCTGTAGATGGGCTTGCGCTTCTATTTGGTATGCAGGCAGTGAGCGAAGCTGCCCAGTCATCCTCGTCTTTCTGCCGTTGTTAGTTAAAATCCCTGAAAGTGTTTGTGGTCGCACGCCCAGGTGCGGTTCCGGACGTTATGTTGACCTTAATCCTCTCCCGCCTCCGGTATTCCGGGCTCTGTCTTGACACCGGGTTCAGGTGATGGGGGAGGAGGAGGAGGAGGGGAATGTGCGGAAGATGCTGAAAAAGTCTTCGCTCATTATAAACTAATTCACATGCACGTCACTGTGCCTGATTCACCCTGTTCTGGAGCACCCGCGGGAAATCGTCGGGTAAGATGGTTAAACCGTCAGCTCCCCATCGCGTGAAACATATTATCAACGCGTCATAGACTTCCACATAATGGCAATTTGTTTGGCGTCTCAAAAGCTCAGTGGTATCGGATAACCTGACGTAGACTGGAGTGTGTCGTGCATTATTTTATCACTGGCTAGACCTGGATATGAAAAAGGCCGTCAACCATGGATGTTTGTGGTAAAATTTCGCTTGTGTAATCTGCGTTTTTTCTGAAAATTCTTCACCGATTTTTTTAATTGTTAGTTATTTGTTAGTCCAGAAAAGGATTTGGACGTATTTTTGGCACTCAAACCCGCTTTTTACTAAAATATCCCTTGCTATCGCGTCGCCTGCTCAGCTGGTGTTGCATTCTCTGATTAACTGCCTAACATTCATTTCCGTTTTTATTGCCCAATTGAATTTACCATTACAATTGTAAATGAATTATATTGACCCATCTGTGAAAAACTCGGCGCCTCGGTGGGATTCGAACCCTCGTAGTAAGGGGAAGGCTTTAGTACAGGCAACGCTCTAACCACTTGAGCTAAGAGGCCCCGCCCGACGGCGCAAGATTAATCATGTAAATTACGTGAGCTTGGTAGTCATCTGGTGGATTCTACGTGAATTACTTAGGAAATCCTGCTTGGGCAGTCAACTTACTGTATCAGATTTGGTGCATTCCAGACGTTGCTGCAGGTTGGGCGGGTAACTTAACCCAAGTGTGATTAAACTCGTGTCGTCCGGAGTGGCCTCGTAGCACAAGTGGTTAGAGCGTTGCCTGTACTAAAGCCTTCCCCTTACTACGAGGGTTCGAATCCCACCGAGGCACCGGGTTTTTCACAGTTGGATCAAAAGGAATTATTCAAAATCTGCCAAAAATGAGTTAATAAATTCATAATGCTAACATATAATAGTCAGTTTTTGAAGGCGAAGAAGACACGATCGCCGGCACAAGAGCTTTATTAGACTGACGTTTCGGATTCCTGCTCGAATCCATCAACAGAGGCATAAGCAGATAAGGATGGTTCATGCACATGCGGCTGCAGTATTTATAGGCGGCAGTAGCCATGCTACCGCATACCTATGAACATTCACGGCTCCCTCCTTCATCCGGGATCGTTGCACGTGGCGTAATGTCCGACATTCGCGTTGTTAATTGAAGCAATCTCATCACGTGCGTTGGATGTTGGTGTGATGATTGCTCGACCATCTGACGCGCTGAGCCGAGTGTTGGGAAAAGTGTTCACCTGTGCGCTCCCCGCGTGGCCAATTACTCCGCCTAGGCGAAGATTCAGCACGGAGTATGGAATGGGAAGATCGTTGCACTTGTTGATGGACTGGGGGCCGGTAAACCATGACTGAAGCAGCTCCCGGCTCACGCGGTTGCCAACTCTTGCGAGAATTTCGGTCTCGTCGAATTTGAATGTGTGGCCGGAACCCGTCGAATCTTCTTCTTCTTCTTCTTCTTCTTCTTCTTCTTCTTTATCTTCTTCTTTTTCCTCTTCAAGACTGCTTTCTGGGACACGTCTCATTGCTTCTATTGACAATATTCAGTTTGTTGGCGGGACGTCGATAGTGTACCGTAGAAATATGCACCGGTAAGAGTCGTGTTCCGCGTATGAGCAACAATCTTAAAAATGATTATTTACTATGAAACTAAAAAGCCCCATTTGTCATTTTTCGTTCTGGAGGAAAGGAAAGTGGAATTTGCTGTCTGAACTCAGATGCTTTTTTCTGGCGTTTTTCGGCGGACAAATCTTCATTTGCATTACGGGTAAAATTCGAGTTTCCCGACACGTTTGTGAAAGTGTAGATGCCATGCCCAGAATATGAAGTTTTTTAACGTGGCCTTTGGTATTCATGTCCGAACCCAGCATCACGTAGGGATGATGCGAGCATAAGAGTTGCAGTATTCATAGGATCCAATAACTATACAACCGTAAACCTGTGAAAATTATACCCCTTTCGTAGAGAATAGTTATCCCTCGTGCGACAGTTGCTTGATGTCCGGCATTTGAGGCGTTAATCAATAGAATTCAGCCACCCGTCTTAGACGATGACGTGAAAAATACTCAGGCATTTGATGCCATGGAAACAGTGTTCGTCTGTCCGTAACGTGTGCGTCAATTCACACTTTTAGACCACGTCTCACCACTGAATACATGAAGGCGTTCAAATGCACTGTCAAAAAACTGCAGGCAGCCCTTATGACCGAAGTACCCGTGTCTGGTTCCGTCCTTTTGGTTTGAATCCGAAGGGTCAGGCAAACTGACTTCCTGTTTTGACGCTCTCGTCTAATTTTTCGCAATCGTTTGTCTTGTGGTTTCTATATTTGTAACTTGCCCTCTGCATATTTGTTGCATTTAAGGATATATATTAATTAGTGTAAACAGTAGAAGTTACATTCTGTAACTGGCAATTTTTATCGCATGGCGCATACTTTGATCCCTTTCAAGTAACACAATGAAACGAATAACCCTGTCCTATTAAAGCACCTAAACCTTGAACGAAGAGAATAATTTTCCCCTGCACGCACAGGACTGTTTGACTGTTTTACCTTCCATAATTTTAAGTTTTTTGTTTTGCGGTTGGATTATTTTTTATGTGGGCTTAGAGGATAGACGGGAAGCGCCAACTTTTCTTTTGAAGTATTCAGCTTTTAGGCGGTCCGACCTTGTCTCTTGACCAGAGCTCAGTTTACGTCAGGGGCTTCTCGATGTTTCTCCGTCGTCCATAAAGTGGGTTCCGTGTGTCATAAAATATCAAACAACTGGTTTGCCGTCAAATTTCGTCCCTTTTTCAGCGGCACTGAATTATCATTCCAGTATTAATTGAAAATTAATTTTCGTCAGGGGATATATTTGCAACCGCTAGTACTCCGTTGGGGGAATAGTGTAAATTAAAACCATTACAAACAGTGACATACTCCTGAAGCTATTAAATTGTCAAATAAAAGTCCTCCGAATTCTGGAAGACAGCCTGGTCGTTAGCTATAAATTATCATTTGGCATAAGTTTTAACACTAATAGACCATTATTTTTGTTACTCCTCTTGGTTTTTTGCCTTTTCCGGACTTTAAGTAATGACTTTACGCTGTTTCCTCCACTTTTACCCCTAAGGCTAGCTTCCACCGGTAAAGTAGAATTTACTTTTGCCTTGTTTGATGTGGTTAGAGTGAGAGGACTAGTTCCACGCGAGTAAGCGGAAAATTACTGAAGTTTTTCATGTTTCGGGAGTGTGTTTTAATGAATAGATTCAGTCCACTTGCGCACGTCAGATTTTGTCGTGGGGCCTGGCGTAATTAAGAGTGATTAAAATTGATCGCGGTCAGCGACCTCTACAGTAGCTTTCCAAACGCTCGCCTGTAGGCATTTTGTGAACAAAAGTCTAACTTGTGCCAAGAGAAGTACTCAGCCATACACGGATTAATGCAGCCTTAGAAACAGTCTAACATACATTAAGCATTCTGGCGTGAACTGGCCTTGTACCAATTATTAAACATTTAACCGTATTGGCAATATGATGAGTGTCATTCGGTGGCATTTTAAGTTGAGATAAATCTAAAATCACTCGAAAAACAGCCTTATTAAAAACGTGTCAATCTACACTAATCAGTGATTCCTAGCAGCAGCAGATCTTTCGATAAGATCTTGCACGAAAATGATGGGAACGCATCATACAGAAAGAACTGTCAGTATGGTGTTCGGATTGTGATTGGACTACGACACATTTTGGCGACTGCCGCATACGTTTTTGTAGTATTATGTAATTTTGTGTGATTTCCCCATAAACTGTTGACGACTTTGACATCTGAGTCACCTTTCACTTAGAAAACGGGTAGATATTTATCTTTGCACAGATACGGCCTTAGAGAGATTTTATAAAATTTTGAATGTGTGTAGTGAGGGCGCTTTCCTCTGGAAGGCAAAAAATCGAACTTTCTCATCAGCAGTTTCGGTGTCGCGAATTTTTCCCCTGCCAGCACAGACACAACAGGTTGTTGTCGGCGCAGTTTTTAGTGAAGATAAAAGAGCTCGTATTTTACTAAACGGTACCATATTACTATTTGAGGTCATGTCTTTGGTTACTTTTTATTCTGGTCGATCTGACAGTCGCGACTCAAGAATTAGACCTGAAAAGCAATTGTGATGTATCCGAAAGCGGTGTTGGGTAAACCCACTTCCTCAAAGCCCCAGCGTTCTGTCAGAGACATCCTTCGCGCTGGACGGGACAGTCCACGGTAAATCAAGGCAAGTTGGACAACAGATTGAATAACTGGCAACGGTATAGGGAAGGACCGCATTTATCTGTCAGTAGACTGCAGATGATGCCGTACGTGGTTTATGGTAAAAGCAGTTTCATTGGTGGGACAGCACGCTAGAGAGTAAGCTGACAAAATGAAAGAAAACACGTAAATTGTCTGAATTTATACTGAAAGTCTCATCCTAAGCTATTGTACGACGGCGGAAATAAAGAGAAGTAATTAAACAATAAACAAAAAGTAAATTGCACACAATAATGGATTGTGAGTTTAGGTGTGAGGTCGTGGGAAGTTACCGTTGTTAGCAGCGTAATTTCTGCAACAGCATCCAGATGTATGCCAAGATAACACCCGATATGACAAGATCCACAGTCTACTGAGAGTTTAGCGGGGGGTTTCTCTATGCAGTTGCCCCAAAACTCATAGCAGAAGCAGTCCTGCAACGGCTAAGTTTTCTAATCTTCAAACAGCACATACCAGGTTGATGGGGTCAATAAATGGTCGGCGTCCTTTCTATCATTGAACGGGATAAAGTGTCAGCACTTCAAGTGCACTTCCAGACCGCCCTCCTGATGTGGTGAACAAAAACCGGGGTTTCTTTAGCGCCCTTGGCAATAAACAATGTCAGGTAAAAAATAAAAGACTTGGGTATACGGTGACCGCAATTAGTGCAAGGAAATTCAACAGAATCTGCCCAGTCAGTCAAAAACGCAGTTTCGTAGGATGCTGTATCGACACGGAGGACGCTTCGTCTGAGCCGTTTTATAGTCGAAGCCTGTTCAGATCAACTAGTCAACCGCGCGTCTTACTTAGCAGATGATTACGAAAACGATGCCATCATTCAAACCCGGTTTCGACAAACTTCTGGAGAGTAAATGCGCAAATTTAAAATGCTCCCAATAGCCTTTCACGTCATCCAGGGTTGTTATTGCAAACAGACTTTTGCAGTCAACCACCAGGCGCAAAGATGTGAGACCGAATGTCCCGCTGTCACTGGGTGAGTCACCTGGAGTTGTTTACTCGCAACTGTTGCTGCTGCTTGCAGTGAAAATGCGTTAAAAAATACTGAGGGATTATTCCAGACGCGTATGCTGAGTACAGTAGGTGGGCTAACTGATGTACTGTCAACAGAAATTCCGAAATTAGTTTTCGTTTCAAAAAAATTAATTAAGTAGGCTTTTAAAATTAGTCATCCGGCAACATAATTCTATAATATTTCTGTCACCACAGGATGCCAGCTTTTGTATGAACTTCCTCCTTTTTGCATGCACAAAGTACACTCCTTAACAAAACGACTGCTTGAATAGCATGCGTATTTCTCATTGATTTTTAATGTCCTTAAAAATTCAGCAATATTTCATGGAAAAAATGCAAAAAAATATTCATTCTTCTGTTCATTCGGTAGAAAATAAATTACACTTCTAATGTTATACTCGGACGAGGGACCTAAATCGGTTTTAAAAAGTTTCTTATTTTAGGAATTTTAAATAGCGTGAAATGGTCGTTCATAAATCGTCATGTCTCTGCATTCACCATTGCGACTCGTAAAGCTAAGTATATGGATTACATCCACTGCAAAAATTTCATGAACCCTATATATTCCGCCTTTGTTAACGTATAGAAATGTGCGGTTTTTCATAAGCGGAAAACATACGGTTTGTAGTTTGGGAACCCCGAATCCAAGTGCGTCCAAAATTATTAGGGAATTGGAAAAGTATTTGAAAACCGAATCATGCTCTTTGTTTGAGTATAAACTTGGAAGAAGACATAATTTTCTATTAAATGAGCAAAAAATGAATAATTGTATGCCTGTTTTCCATGAAATATTATTGAATTTTTAAAAACATCAAAAATCAGTGAGAAAAATGCATGCTAATTAAGTGGTCATTGTTTTACTAAGTATAGTTTTTGCATGCAGTCGTAAGGCAATTCAATCAACAGCCGGTATCCTGCGGTAGCTGGAATATTATATAATTATGTTGCAGGCCGACCAGTCTTACAACACTACTTAGCTAATCTTTTCGAACCGAAAACGCATTTCGGAATTTCGGTTGACATTTCATGAGTTATCCCACCTACTGTATGACTTAGGAGCGAGGAGGAAGGACGCACACCTTCGTTTTGCGGTTCGAGTGATTTCCTGGGAATAGCATTTAAGAAAGCTGAAGGCAAGCAGCTGAGCACTACTTGCTTTGGCCGATTAATGAGTAGTTGTCACTGCGAACGCCAAGGTCGGTCGTGAAATTGCAGTCGGTATTTAGTTAAATGCGC